CCCAAGACGGCCCAAGACGCCCCCAAGAGGCCCTAAAGAAGCCTAGTGCAGAAGAGGCCCCAAGAAGCCCCCAAGACACCTCCAAAAGGCCACAAAGAAGCTCCCAAGTGGCCTCGCAACAACTGGACTGTACGTGCTCCGGACGTGCACCCCGTGAAGCGACAGGAATCTAACGACTTTCGGTCGTTCGGTTACGGCACCGACATATTAGAACGAGTCGACAGCGAGCATACCCACCGACACCCTCAAAGGGGCCCTGGCCGCAACTCGGCCAACGCCGAACGGGAACAACGCACGAAGGAGGGTAAGGTCAGTAAACAATCAGCTCCTGGATTGAACCCATACTTTCTTGCAAGGAACCAGTTCTTGGCCGACGCCAGTGATTCGAAGGGGGCTACCTTGACCGAAGGCGAGCTGAAGAAGTTGACGACCAGGCTCGATGAGATGTGGGCTCACGACGTGGACCAAGACGTTTTCAAGGAGGCGTACGAACTCTGGAAAGTGCCATTGCAAAAGCCAGACAGCAATGACGAGATCACCTACAAGACCAAATGGGGCGGCGGCTGCGTCTCCACCCTCATAACCCCAGATGAGATGTTCGAATGGCCAAAGGACGAGGATGTGTTCGATAAGTCTTGCACGGAGAGGCGAGTGGAGAGCGACCGATGCATAGACTTCAACCTGTCGGCGGAGTACGACCTGTGGGGCACTGGAAGGAGCGCCAGAAACGTGGACGGAGCTGCGGCGCGATAGCCAGAAGCTTTCGACATCGTGGAGACGGGAATCCATCGTTTTATCGACCACATCAGCCACGAGAAGGCTGACGAGTGGGATACGATGACTGTTGTTTCTGGTCTAGGTTTCTATGGGCCGATGCCTTCCTCAGGACCGTCTGCATCATCTCCAACGTGACGTACAGCCCGAAGGTCTTCGACATCACGTTGAACCAGGTCGAGGTGGACGATAGCATTGTGAGCGAGGACGCATGGTATCTAAAGCCCCCTCAGAGAAGATAACACCGGCATGTAAGGATTTAAATAAGGCAACGCCACAACAATGAACAACATGTTTTTCACATACTAATTTGGTGTTGGCACGTGTGATCATTTCTTCAATTACAAGGCGATCGACTCGAAGACTTCAGATGATTGGATAAACATCTTGCAGCAAGTTATGCGCGCGATGGGTCTCTACGAGGCCACCTACATCTACCTGGTGGACCTTCACCGATGGCACACTGGGACACTCATATCTTACAGGATTCAATTACGTGGGTAGGCTGTGGGAGCCAGGGATGCGGAGCCCGATGAAGATCGACAAGGGCACCGAGAGCACGACCTCCAAGTACGACAAGCTTGCCAATAAGATGTTGCATGATAGTTGGCGGTGTCACGGGCAGCGAGGCCGAGCCCGACCCTGGAGCTGCGCCAGGTGATCCAGAGTCTGACGGAGATGTCGCTGCGGATGCTCATATCGTAAGGCCTCCAGTTCCAGCGCCCTGGCTTGAGCTAGGGGAGCCTTCTAGAGCTGGGTACGTCTACATGGGGTCCAGGAGCATCATGCGCATTCAGCGCGGGAAGCCCCCCGAGTCGGTAACGGTGAACTGTTGCCGACACAAGAGCTGCCACCTCTGCCCGACGGAGGCGAACTGCCCCTCCGACTTCGTGCTGAAGCAGAGGCTCTTCGACGTCTCTGCCACTCGAGAGGGCGCCAGCGTGGCCGCCAACAAGGAGCTGGCGCTGCAGCACATGCAGATCGGCAAGGACCGATGGGGGGTCCGGAAGAGGCCACAGCGCTGAGTGCCACAGAGTCCCAACAACATCCCAATAGCGAGGAGCAGCAGATGACAGATCACGGCCCACGTGACAAGCGGGACTGCCGGTACCCAGCCTCTGAGCTTTTTGTTGTTCATCTTGTTCACAGCGCGGTCCGCACCTGTGCGAGCGCGGCGCCGGGACCGAGCAGGAAGCTTCGCACCGCGAGGGAGAACGCAGGCCTCGTGAGGCCATCGGCCAGCACCCGGCATCTGCCCTCGGGGCAGGCCCTCTCCCCACCCGGGCGCCAGACTCCTCGCTCGGATCCTCCGCTGGAGCCGTGCCGTGCGGTGCTCGGTCGGCTTGGGGAGCTGGCCGGTGGTATGCTGTGCGGTGGTGGCGCAATGCCGCGCTGATTCTATGCTGTGCTATGCCAGTGTGGTCCTCACCATGCGCTGAAGCAAGGACGAGGACGAAAGTCGGGAGGAGGATCAGGATGTGCTGTGCCGTGCTGTGGTGGGGCTGATGTTGCGCTGAAGCGAGGAGGACGAGGAGGATGCGGAGGAAAAGGAAGATGATGAGGATGAGGATGAGGATGCTAATGAGGACTCGGCGTCGAACACTTCTACAAGTCCACCTTCTTCCTTCATGCCTGTCTTCTTCCTTCCCTGGAGAGAGGGGGGGGGGAATAATGGGGCGGATCTGTATCCGCCACCGTGCCCCCCTGGCACGTTGAGGCGTGGTGGAATGCGAAGGGCCGCCAGGTAGGGTTTCTATCATCCTCTCCAGGTGCCCTCCCCCCTGCCATCACATCCGGCTGCGTGCACCGCCCCCGACCCCCTTTCCTCCAAGAGAACCCTGCAGCCGCGCTCCCGAGGCCCCGACGCCTCGCAGCAGACAAACCATAGCCCTGCGCTCCGGAAGCCACGACCCCTCGTGACAGCCTGTGGGTCCGCGCTCCCGGGGCCACCATCCCTCATGAGAACCTGTGCGCTCGCGCTCCCGAGCTTGCCAGACGGGCCAAGATGGCCCCGAGACGGCCCAAGATGGCATCAATACGGCCTCGGAGTCCTCACAGACGGCCCAAGAGGGAGACCAGAGGACCCCCGGTCGGGCTCGACGACACCCAAGCCGTTGATCTCCCCAGGTGGGCGGCCTCACCTTTTAATCTTCCTTCAGCTCCAGACGGCTCCGAGAAGGCCCCCAAGATGGCCCCGAGATGGCCAACGAGAGGACCTCGGGAGGAACCCAAGACCGCGTTAGAAGGCCTCTGGACGGCTCCACGACAGGCGCAAGAGACCAAGAGACCCCAGGGACGGCCAAGAGTGCCCCAATGCGGCCCAAAAGGGCTCCAACACAGCCCAAGTGGCCCAAGGGCCCCCCCCCCCCAAGACTGCGCCACGAGAGCCCAAGAAAGGCCGGACGAAGTGGAATGAGACGACGAAGACAAGACGAGAATTATGCTGCTCCCATCGTGCTTAAGGAGCACATCCCAGAAATAATTTCGAGCACCCGGAAAATTGTCGAAACAGTGTCGAACGAGTCTCCCAGGGCCCGACACGTGAAAACCCATTGAGTTTCGGTACTTTCTTGGTGCTCGAAATTCTTTCTGGCGGTTCAGGCTAAAGACGGTTGGAACATCAGAAGACGAGAATATCCGACGTAAGGCGGCAACCTGTGCCACGTGTTACGGCTCCCCCAAGCCTCGGGACACGGGCTGCCACGCTCTCTACGGCCTCCTGTCCGCCGCCCGTGCGGCCCGCCACGCGAGGCGCTGGGCTGGCACGCTGGCGGGACTCGCCGCAGGCAGGTGGAAAGCTGTCCTCTTCTGGGAACCTCCGGTGGGGTCGAGGCTCCCCTGTGGGAATCCTTCTTCTTCTTCTCCTCCTCCTCCCCCTCCTCCTCCTCCTCCTCCTCCTCCTCCTCCTCCTCGTCCTCATCCTCCTCCTCCTCCTCCTCCTCCTCCTCCTCCCTCCTCCTCCTCCTCCTCCTCCTCCTCCTCCTCCTCCTCCTCCTCCTCCTCGCTCCTCCTCCTCCGTCCTCCTCCTCCTCCTCCTCCTCCTCCTCCTCATCCTCCTCCTCGCTCCTCCTCCTCCTCGTCCTCCTCCCTCCTCCTCCTCCTCCTCCTCCTCTCCTCCTCCTCCTCCTCCTCCTCCTCCTCCTCCCTCCTCCTCGCTCCTCCTCCCCCTCTTCCTCGCTCCTCCTCCTCGCTCCTCCTCCTCCTCCGCCTCTCCTCCTCCTCGCTCCTCCTCCTCCTCGTCCTCCTCCCCCTCCTCCTCCTCCTCCTCTCCTCCTCCCCTCCTCCTCCCCCTCCCCCTCCTCCTCGTCCTCCTCGCTCCTCCTCCTCCTCCTCCTCCTCCTCCTCCTCCTCCTCCTCCTCCTCCTCGCTCCCCCTCCCCCTCCCCGCTCCTCGGGGGGGAGGACCCGGCACGCGGCGTTGGACGTCCTGGCCGCTGCTGCGGGCCCCCGGGTCTTGGCGGAGGCAGGGGCTGGGGCCCCCGACCGCAGCGGCCGGTGACCGACGGCGAGCCCAGAGATCCAACGCATTGAAAAAATCAAGGCGGGGGGTTTTCGCGATTTTCGGCCTCGCAATTTTCGCAATTTTCGCAATTTTCGCAATCATTGAAAAAATCAAGGGTTTTCGCAATTTTCGGCCTCCAGGGGCCCTCGCCGGGCCACGGGACCGTCAAAAAAACAACTCAGGATCAAAAGCCGGTCCCGGGGAATGGGTCGAGACTTCCGGGAACCCCGTATTCAAAACATCACGACGTCGGATCTCTGGGAGCCAAGGGGGGAAGTGAGGAGAAGGCCTTCTTAGAAGGCTCGGAAGTCCCCAGGCCTTCTGAGGAATCCCGCCGCCTTCCGAGAAGGCCTTCTCCTTCTCTCACTTCCCCCCCCCTCGCTCGCCGCCGAAGGGAGGCGGTGAGAGGGGTACAGACCTTCTCGCGTCGTTGAGAAAAACGTCGCTTGTGGTTTTACTTCTATGAGTTGTTTTTGTTGATGGTGCCCCTGCAGCCCTCACCGAGCCCCAAGACCGTCAAGAAATGGCTCAAGATGCAAAGCTGGTATCGGGTCGGTTGGTTGGCGCCCTCCGTGGGCTCCAACCACGGAGGGCGTCAACTCCTCCTGCTCCTCCTCGTTCTCCTCCTCCTGCTTCTCGTTCTCCTCCTCCTCGTTCTCCTCCTCCTCGTTCTCCTCCTCCTCCTCCTTCTCCTCCTGCTCCCCTTCGTCCTACCTGTTGGTTGTGGAGGGGATCCAAAAGCCACGTTGAGACCAGAAACGCGAAGTCGGAATCCTGGCGGTAAGGCGGGGGCAGGGCGGACTTGTTTCGTTCCACATCCACCTGGGCGACGATGACTGCCCTGTCCGCGAGCACTGCGTGTCACCACAGCAAATGCTGCTCCGCAGCGTGCAGCGGAGGAGCGCCTGGCCAGCGATGGATAGACTGCGCGAGGAGGAAGCTGAGGTCAAGAGCAGAAGCGGCAGGGGGGGCCCAGGCAGGAGAAGCGCCGCGCTGACTCGAGCTTGCCCGCCCTGCTGCAGCGGCTCCCGCGGGCCCCCTGCGACACGCCTCCGTCCCCGCCGAAGAGGCGTCCAGGAGACGGGCAGACAAGGCAGAGACTATACAGTCGGAAATGCGATCGAGAACGTTCGTATGTGAGATATCTGTGCCGGCTTCATAGAAAGTTCTTTCAACAAATCAGGGCCGTTTTCTGCTCTTAACGCTGGTGGGACGAACGTGCCCAAGAGACTAGGACAACTTTCCGGCAAGCTGGTAAAGAAACTCCGGCCCAACTTCCCGGGAGGAGGCCTCTTAATCAGATGCTCGACTGTATACGCGTGGCGCGCTCCGGAGCCACGAATCCCAAACTGTGGTCGTCCCAGCCACTGTCAGCTACACGCAAGAGTGACCCTATGCAAGAGTGATCTCCGGTGTGCGGTTTCAGGGAGGCCGCGGGGAGGCCCAACCTGAGCGCGCAAGATGCTGCTACTGGATCGTGTCCGGCGCTCGGGGGGCCCCGTTGGGCCCGCACCGAAGGTCACTCCGGCGAAAGGTCACTCTTATGTACCCGTCGGTCGGAAGAAGTGGGTGGAAAGTAGAAGGCGTTGGAAGGCGTTGGAGAAGGCGTTGGAAGTAGACTGGGGAGGAGGCGTTGGAGAAGGCGTTGGAAGGCGTTGGAGAAGGCGTTGGAGAAGGCGTTGGAGAGGGCGTTGGAGAAGGCGTTGGAGAAGGCGTTGGAGGGCGTAGTGGAAACACGAAGTAGGAAGGCGTCGGAAGCAGACTGGGGCTCCGCCCACTACCCCCCGAAGAGGAGGGGCGAGGGAGAACCGCTCGACCCTTGAAGCAGGACGGCGCCTAAATGAAGGGGCCCTGGGACACACAAATAAATCCACACAAATAAAAGATTCCCCATATTTTCCCATATTTTTTGGATTTTCATCTTCCCCCCCACTTCCCATATTTTCCCATATTTTCATAAACATCGACGAATAATTGTGTCTGTGTGTTTTTTCCCCTCCTGACTAAAGTAGATTGGGATCTGGACATCCAGACGTGCCGACTCTCAACGACCGACGTGCAGGAAGGGGCCCCGGGGCACACAAATACATAGACACGAATGGCAGGATTCCCAGCCTTTTCATGCACTTTCTGGATTTCGTCTTCCCCCCCCTTCCCATATCCTCCCATGTTTTCCGGGGAATCGACGATTAATTGTGTCTGTGCACTGTAGGCGATGCTCAAGAAAACTTGAGTTTTCGGCCAGAGTCTCGATTATTCTTAATGTTTCAATTTAATTCCTAAGATGTTGATAGAAATTCGGGGTTTTAATGAAATTCTGAGACTATGAATTTCTTAACCCATGATTTCTTAAGCATTTCGCAGGGTGTGTGGGTTGTTTCCCTCCTGAGTGTACGTCCGGTCGACGTGGTCTTCCCAGCCCCTGGGGCGCGCGGCGGGCCCACGGGACACTCTCCACGAGTAGCCCAGCCCTGAGGCCCCAGGACGTCCACGGACTCTCAGTGTGGGAGCGCCACGCTCCCCATGGCAAGACTCAGGCATGCCCCCCCACAGGCGGATCTTGAAGGACAAACCAAACATACCCCACAAGCACCCCGCGCTGGCAAAACGAATCATAAAACAATCGCCCCAACACCATTCTTGGACTGATGTGGCATTCTCCCCTTGTAGAGGGACGTGCCCGACGTAAGGCAGACCCAAGAAGAAGCCCCGGGCACCCTGGAGGCAAGCAGGGGCGTTTCTTTCGGGGGCGGCCAAGAGGGGGGTGTCCAAAAGGGGGGGGTGCAAATCATGACCGGCGGCATGTGCGCGGCCCAGCGGGGGGGCCAGGGACGTAATGACATAAGAAGAGGCGCCATGAAATCTGGGGAAATATCATGGCCCCCGCCATGATATCCACCCCCCCCTAGTCATCACCCCCCTCTTTTCCGCCCCCGATTCTTGGCAGGGGCTCTCGCTGTATAGGTCGAGAGCTTCCCGGCCCCTGGCCCCCGGCCCCCCGCCCGCCGCAGCGGGCAGGAGGCCCGGGCCCGGGGCGAGGCCGGGGCTCGAGCTGCTGACGCGGTGCCTCTCGTCTTTTCGCTCTCGCTCTCGCTGCCCTCCGCCCTGCCTCCGCGCTGCCACTGCTGCGACACGAAACCAACACGAGGACGGCCCAGGAAATCGCCGGAACACCATTCGGCTCGAGCCCTGGGCGAGGCCCTCACTGAAGACCCTCGCGCGGGGCGCGCGGCAGGGTGGTGGGCCTGCCTCCAGCACCCGACGCGCCAGCGATTGCGCGGCGTGGGCCCCCGGAGCACTGGAGCTCTCGACCCCAATCCAAAAGATTGAGTGTTCGTCCCGATCTGCTTCCTGACAACCATGGGGCATGGAAACGGCCCCCCGGAAGCAACAGCCGGTGCATCATCGGCAGTACGATGTTTTGTCAGCATCGTCGGAGGCACGGGTATTCTCCGCAGAATCCGCCCCTGGACCATCTTCAGGGACTGTCTGGGATGGGATTTCGAGGGAGATCCGGCCACGGTGAATCGATCCCTCTCGAGGTCCATTTGGTGCCACGAGGATCCAAACACCTCGACCCTCGATCCTCCTCCTCGGCAGCGCCAACCACCTACGTTTTCTTAACGCTCCCCGCGAAGGAGGCCTCCTCTCGTGGACTCGGCGATCGAGGGGAGGGGAAAGTGGAGCAGCGAGTGTACTCGTAAGACAGCGACCGAAAAGCCATTTCGTGGGCATCTTTGGCTCTCTCCTGCCTCGGGGTCGGAGGCACTGTCGCCTGCCTGCGAGGCCGACTAGATGGACCAGGGGGAGCAGGATGATTAATGAGAGGAGGAAGTTCGAGAGCATCGGGAGCAGGATGAGGTCTCGGCCTGGCCGTCTCTCCTCAGAACTTCAGCTCGTGGGGGTACATCTTGTCGGACAGCGAGAATCGCGCCTTCAGGTATGCCTTCATGTCTGCCGCGAGACCCTTCACCACCTTGTCATCCATCGACTTCTGGCCAGACTTCTTCTCGTCGCTGATGCCCTTTTTCTCGACGTCTCCGGAGAACATGCCCTTGGCCTTCCTGTCATTGTCCTTGGTAAAATACTCGTCTGTGACCGTAGAGAAGTCTGCCCCCTTGAGGTCCACCTTGAAGGGCCACGGTACAGTCGGACCAAGGCCAGAATCACATCCCTCAAGAACATGAGACCCTCCGCCGGCCAAAACAGAGAACATCCAAGGTACCCTCCCCGGGATGCACAAGAACATCCAACAAACACGAAGAGGATTAGGTACCCTCCTCGAGCCCACCTCGATATCATACCTCGGCTCTTCTGTAGGGGGGAATTGGCTCCCTGGGGCAGGGCGACACTGACTTGGAGCCAGCGAGAGACATGGGCCTTTGATAATTATCGATGGGGCACAGGGACACACAAATAATCACACACAAACCCCACGATCCCCCATGTTTTCTCATATTTCCAGGATTTTCGTCTTCCTCCCCCACTTCCAATGTTTTTAGATATCTTCCTCAGGATCGACGATTACTTGTGTCTGTGTGCTTTTCCCCCTTCTGAAATGAGCGAAACCGCATGCATCTCCGGGGCTGGGCACAGCCAGGACCCGATCCGCGATGACTGGGCGATGGGGGGTCGATGCTGGCCCCCTGGGTCGATGCCTCCTCCTCCTCCTCCTCCTCCTCCGCCTCCTCCTCCGCCTCCTCCTCCTCCTCCGCCTCCTCCTCCGTAGCCATTCTGGCTCAAGATGACCTGTCCCCCTGGAGACAGCACGGATACCGCCAGTCCGCGGCCAGACGTCGATCGTCCGTGCCTTCCCCGTGGGAGTTGGGCCCCCACACCCAGATCGTTCCATTTCAGGTGCCTCCGAACCTGCCTTCTGCGAGGCAGGCGGCGCCCCTCGTTCGCCGCCAGCCCTGTCCAGGGCGGGCCGAGCGCGGCCCTGCGACTACAACCCTCCTGGTGCCGCCTGTCCGCCGCGGCCGCCTGCCCTCCGCGGACCTCGTCGACCCACGTGGGCGTGCGGGCGCTGCTCGGCGAGTGCCAATTTGGCGTGCCGCATTCGGTGCGCCTGCGGCAATGGGGCGCCGAACCGCATCAAGATCAGAGCGATTGGGCAGCAACAGGTCTGGGACGCCAGCGCCAAGGCGCGGCAAGCTGGTGCTGGAGGCGGTCACCGACCGCAGGCGCCCTTGGGAAGCGGATGGCAGCCCTCGAGAAGACGATCGCAGATGCTCTCCGCACGGGCCAGGGCACCGAGCCAACGGCTGACAAGCCGAGGTTCACCCGTGCTCCTTGGGCGGCAGCGCCCGATGCCCCGGCTGCTGCTGAGCCGAAGGCCGACGACACAGACAAAGATAAAGGAGCCAAACATGCTGCACAGCTTGCCTGTTCTGAGGCCTCGCTCAAGACATCACTTTCTGGAGATGCTGGAGCAGACCTCCGCACGCAGATCCAGGGCAAGACTGATCAAATCAAGCTGCTGCAAAAAAAGACTACGACCTCCAGCTGTCGCACACCGTCGTGCGGCGCAGGACCTACAGAACGCCAAGCAAGCACAGACTCGCATTGAAAAAGGGATCACCGAGAAAGAGGAGCAGCTCACGAAGCTGCGTGAGAGCCTCGAAAGCAAACGCACTGCTCTCGAGGCAAAGAAGCAGGATATCATCGCCTTGCAGCGCGAGTTCGGTCCCACCGCAGCGAGTGCCGGTGGCAAGTCCCCTGGCGCATCCTCCTCCTCCTCCTCCTCCTCCTGATGTTTTGATGTCCAGGCTGAAGAAATTTATGATCAGGACCTCCAGGCCTTCCTCCAGTCGCCGCTTCGGGGCAGGCTCCGCGAGACGCTGGACGCGAAGACCCCCGCCAAGTCTGAGCCCATGGAGACTGATGATGCCGAGCCTAGTCCTGCAACCGATCCTGGTGGCCATGGTCGCGCACCTGCTGACAAGCCAGCCGACGGTCCAGTCGACGGCGGTGGAGTCAAGCGAGGTATTGATGAGTTGGGCGAGGATGAGCTGCAGCAACTTTTCGAATTGGCCAACGATTGAGGTGACCAAGCCAGTTTTGTTGAGAAGTGCCGAGAGCTTGCAAAGAAGCCCAAGTGTTCCTAGTACGTGGCTCGTCTCTGGCGTCCGCCTGCTCGGTGGATCTGCCCGCGGGCCGCCCGCGGCCAAGGAGCAAGGCACAATGTTCATAGAGACGTTCAATGCTAGCGGGGGCCTTGCCGCGCTCAAGTCTCGCCTCCCCCCGAGCACAGCGATGATACTGACGTGCCAGGAGATAGGTTTCGCGCCCGACACGCTGGAGCGGCTTTACAGTTGGGCTGCCCACCGTGGGCGGAAGACGGCCGCCCTACCTGCGACGCCACGTGACGGATCGGCTCCGCCTGGTGGTGTAGCCGTGCTCGTTCGCGACGATCTTGGACTCAGGCATCCACCCGATGGTCAATGGATGTGTGAGCATCGGCTACAACATGTCCTAGTTGACTTGCCAGGGTGGCCTGGGCTCACGTTGTGAAACGGTCATCTGCGTGACTCGATTGGTGCCACGGGCATCAACGCTGACATTCTCGCGGCTGCTGGGGAGATATTAGCGAGGACGGCGTCGCCCTGCATCATCGGAGGCGACTGGAATATGACGGCTCGCGACCTCGAGGATTCCGAGTTTCCCAGGTTGGTGAATGTCACGCTCGCGGTGCCTGACCAGGTCATGTTCAGAAGTGGAACTGGCTCGTCTACTATAAATTTCTTTGGGCTCAACGACGCCGCTATTCGAGGATACCGATGCGTCAAGGCAATTATGACATGGCACAAGAGAGCTCACAGACCTGTTCAATTAAACACGGTTGATAGTGGTTACGACATATAACACTATGTATACTCGGTCACACAGAAGCTACCGTCAGTGGCCCCGTCAGGTCCAATGACACGCCCAGCTGATTGGTCTGTACATGCTGCTCGTGCTAAGCACGCAGTTGCCCTCGCTCAAGATGATGCAACTGACCCCGCTGTTGTGTGGGCGCACACCATACGTGTATACGGTAAGTGTGCGGTTTCAGTGGCAGAATGTGTTGCAGCAAACAAGGGAGTCGAGCTGAAGCAGGCTGGGGCTTTTGGGCGGAATTTGCAGCAGAAGTGGGTCAACGCCACGTACCCTACCAGCGTTGAAAGTGACATTCAGAGCATTGCACAAGGATGGAAGCGGCTTCAGGAGGCGCTGATATCCATTATTCAGCTGCACTCGAAAGATGATATGTTGACGCAGTGCTCTGAGGAGATATCCAATTTCATGGTCTCAGCTTACTCTGGTCAGGGCCTCAGCGGCAGGCTCGACGCGACGGTCAAGCAGGCCAGGGATGAGGTCAATACCATACCGATGGATACCGAGCGGCTGCAGACCTTCTTGGACGAGATCGCCAATGATGTCGCGCTCGCAGCCAAGAACCAGGCAAAGGAGTCGGATGACAGATGGGCTCATTGGTGCACGGTGGCAGGCAACGGAGGTGCACGTGTGTTACACACGACGACTCGAGTTAGATCGATTCCTGCCCCGGCGGTGGCGCTCGGGATCCAGTCTGGCGACCCTGTGATCATAGTCCAGCAGGAAGTGGAGCTTTACCGACGTTTATGGCACGCGACAGACAAGGCTCCAGAGGCTTGGATCCCCGCCAGGACTTCTTGCCCGAGGTCAACACCAGATAAGATCCGCAGCACGGCGAAGAGTTTCCCTGCGGGTACCGCGGCCTCTTTCGACAACTGCCACCCGAGGCACCTCGCGATGATAGACGACGACGGATTGGAAGTTTTGGCGTCCATACTCCAGGCCTCAGAACGTATGGGAGTTCTCCCACGTCAAATTTGTTGGATTCAGATGCCGATGCTGGGCAAACCAAGCGGAGGCAACAGGTCAATAGTTCTTTGCGCTGGAACCTATAGGGTCTGGCAGCGAGCTCGTCGCCCATACATCAAGTCCATGAATGATGCATTGGATCGGAAATACTGGGGAGCCAGCACAAGCAGATCTGCCATAGACTGCGAATGGGTGCTCGCGGCCAGGACCGAGTCGGACCAGATTTCTCACAAACACGGAGTGGTCGATGTTGTTGACTATTCCCAATACTATAAAACAATCCCGCTGCTGGCACTCAAGTATAAATTTCTTCGTCACGGTGCGCCGACCTGCTGGCTCAAGTTGGCGACGAACATGTGGGCGAGCCCGAGAGTCATACGCCTCGGGCGGCACCGCACCCAGAAGGTGCTTTTCGCCAAGTTCGGGATGCCAGCGGGTGACGCCTACAGCGACATAGGCATCAATGTACATGCAGTTGACCGGTACGATATGATGATGCTCAAAGTTCCCACGGTTGATGTTCAGAACAACATAGACGACAGCGCCTTGCACAATTCTGCCCGTGATTTTGGCATCGCCAAGGGAGTTGCTGTCGAAGCAGCCAGAGCTCATGGCAGCCAGTCAGAAGCTCAATGCTGTATTGAACCAGGACAAGATTGCCATCCTCGCAACGTCTGACTCTCTGGCCCATGCTGTGTGTGACGAGCTCGGATTCTCCAGGAGCGCATGCAAGTCGTCCGTCTCCTACCTCGGAGTCGATGAAGCTGCTGGACGACAGCGCTGTGAGAAAAGGCCCGAATGAAGTACAAGAAACGTCGCACATAAATTACCAAACGAATTCGCAAGAGCCGAGCCTTCCGCTAGCGTTTCAAGGGCCCCAAGGAGACCCCCTTCAAGGGAGTGCACAAACAAGGGATCGCTCCCGCTAGTAGCTTTGGGCGTTGAGGTCCTGGGGCTCAGTGCTGCGGAGTGGCTCAGCCACCAAATATTAGTTGCTACACGTGATACCCCGTCCCATGCTGGTGTTTCCCTGTCCGCCAAGGCCGTTTGAAACGGAGATAGCAGCACTGGGCTTGCCTTGGCGCCTGCGATCCAGTGGTGTAGGATGTGCTGGAATGCTGCGACTCGCCCGAAGCTCTCTCTTATCAGTATGCCCGAACTTCTGAGGCTCTGGGAGCTTTCGAGGCCGTCAGAGTGCACAGATGGGCGACAATCCAGAGGCCCCCTTGCTGGAGCCGTGCTGTGTCTCGGCCGTGCTGGTTGGCGAGCGGGGGGGGCCTCTGAGATGGATCGGCCATCATGAGGTACACATAGACATCGCCTTGACCCCGCGGGCGCAGCTCGCCGACATGCTAGAGCTCGGAGTTCAAATGCAGAGGGAGCTCAGGCTTGCTCAGAAGCCAGGCGTCCCAGCAGGCACGCCAGCGACCCTAGACCTGATTCGAGACCGAGTAGGGACTGAGGCCCGCAAGTTTTCTAAACATCAGAAACATTTCACCGAGAGTGCTGCTTGCCGAGGACTGTGGACCAATGATCGTGCCGAGAGGGCGGGGTACTCGTGTGACGGGGCTTGTGCTTGTCGGGAAAGGGGCACAATCCATCACAGGCTGTACTTGTGCCAGCTGGAAAATGTAGATGCAGCGCGTCAAGAAGCCGAGGTCCCCCCCCGAATTCCTGGACGTTGCCAGGGACAGCCCCGGGGAGCCCATTTTCACCAGTGGAGTTTTCACGTGTCAAGACAGTGAGTTGCCAGGCCCTTCCGTGTCGACAGAGTGTGAGGTGTTCGACGGTAGCGGCAACCCACTGGACCTGGAACCCAATCGGATTGCATCTCTCACTGCTGCTGCGCCTCTCCGTCTTGCCTCTGACGGATCCTGTAGCAAGCAGTTGTTGCGACCGCTGCGCAAAGCCGCCTGGGCAATAGCAATGTGCCCAGACGCTGGCGATGAACCCGTTGCCGTCATGCGCGGGATAGTCCCAAATCAGATATCTCAGGCTCCCGCGATGGCTGAACACGTTGCCACCGCTCTGCGTGGTCAAGTGGCGACTCGAGAAGCTCGGCTCGCATCGGATTGCTTGGCAGCAGTGAGTGTTTGTCAGCAGCAGGTCACGCGTCAGGTCAGTGTGTCTAGCAAGCTTGCATGTATCAGACAATTCGCCCTCCAGCTGGAGGGGGCGCTCTTCATACAGTCTGTTCTGAAGGGGCCCTGGGACACACAAATAAATACACACAAATAAAAGTATTCCCCATATTTTTCCATATTTTCTGGGATTTTTGTCTTCCCCCCCCACTTCCCATATTTTCCCATATTTTCATGGGAATCGAGGATTAATTGTGTCTGTGTGTTTTTTCCCCTCCTGATGTTCAGCATGTCAAAGCGCACCGCTCCGAAGGGGTCCTTGATGATTTGGAGGGCACAGAGCGAATCTGTGCATATGCGAACTCGGTGTTGGATAAGCAGGCGGAGCTTGCCCTAGATCGCCACCCGAGTCCGACGCCACAGGTTTTAGCAGCTTTGGACTTGGCGGCCCAGCGGGCCTCGTGATTCATGAGAGTTGCCGCGGAGGTCCTGCCCTTTTTCCAGAATGACGTTCGGTGGAAACGCCCGCCAACGACTTTTGCTTCGAGATCCAGGCGTTCAGCATCCTGGCACGATTGGCAGCTCGGCGAGTTAGGCGTAAAGTGCAGATCTTGCCTGGCTCTGGCCGAAGGCCCACGCAACCAGCTGCAAATGAATGGCTGCCCAGGCGTGCTGAAGGTGATTGATAATTTGCTCTCCGACCCCAAGGGGCATCGCCTCGTCGCCTGGGCTGGATCGATGGCTCGAGACGCTGTTGATGGTGCCGCGTCGTCGTCGTCGTGTCGCCCTCCGAGAGCATAACATAGTTTGTTTGAATTGTGGAGGGTGGTCCCAAGGACGAGCTCTCAAGCTGGGCCGTAGTTGCGAGCAGCTGACGAGAAAGGGTCTCGAGGTCCTCGGGAGGCTCCGCCAGGGCAAATGCCCCAATCGTCGTGTGCAGGCGCTGCTTGATAAGACTGTGCCTCCCTCTCTCGAGGCTGGCGGAGTTGTCCGCTGACCCCAGGACCTCGAGCGTCCCCTCCGTTGTTCGGACTCGGTTTTTGGCCTCGGACTCGGCCCCCTCCTATGAGCAACGAATGTCGGCTCTCGTTGAACGAATCCGACTCAAAGAGCAGGGATCTGCTGCTCGTCCTCGGGGATAATTTTAGTCTGGGCCTCCAGGTAAGCCATTTCGGCCCAACTCCTGAGCGTCCTTTCCACACTATTGTTTCTTAGTTTTTAGTGCTGTGCACTTCCCGCATGGGCATTCCATTCCATTCCATTCCATTCCATTCCATTCCTCCGCCTCCTCCTCCTCCTCCTTCTCCTCCTCCTCCTTCTCCTCCTCTGCCTCCTCCTCCTCCTCCTCCTCCTTCTCCTCCTCTGCCTCCTCCTGCTCCTCCTCCTCCTCCTCCTCCTCCTCCTCCTCCTCCTCCTCCTCCTCCTCCTCCTCTGCGCGCAAAAGTGACACTGGGTGTCAGCGACCTTCGGTGCGCGACTTCCCGGGGGTTGCGGGGGGTCCAAACACAGGCGCGCAAGACGCCACCGCCGCCCCGCGTTCGGCGATCGGGGGACCCCGAATGGGCCCGCACCAGGGGACACCCTGGCGAAAGGTCACTCTCTACGTGTAGTCGAGATGAATGGGCGATGGGGGGTCGATGCCTCCACCCCCCTGGGCCAGGCCAGTGGGCCTGCCGGCGCCCCATGACACCTTCGCGCTCGTCGCGATGCAGAAGCGCTGGTTCACGCGGCGCAGGGGCACGCCGTTCACGGCGTAGGGCCCGGTCACGAGCAGCAGGCCGCTGCCCAGCTGCTTCAGGAACACGGCGCGCCGGCCACGGAAGCGTCCGGCGAGCAGGATCAGCACGGAGCCCGGGGACAGCCCCTTCTTGAGCTTCGGCGGGGTGGCGGCCTTGCCCGCCTTCCCGGCGCTCTTCACCTTGGTCTTCTTGCCGAACGTGCGGTGGACGCAGCGCGCCTGTCCAGCCTTGCCCATGGCGCCTGGGCCCCTTGGGGATGCTGAGCAGGCGCGGCGTTGAGCTCCGATGCCCTCAGCCCTGAGCCAAAATGGCTACGGAGATGGGGGAGAAGCAGGAGGGGGATGAGGGAGGAGGAGGAGGAGGAGGAGGAGGAGGAGGAGGAGGAGGAGGCGGGCCAAGCGTCGAAATGGCGGGCCAGGCGTTTCGCCTGAGACTTTCTAACTATTTACGATCCTGAAGCTTAGAATTTGCAGCAGCTTCACGGATGGAGGGCGGGTCGCTTTCAAAATGTGGTTCTCGCCTTAGCGCCGCGTGCAGTCATTTCACGAATGTGTAAGAGGTTCACGCATGGAGGGCGAGTTGTTTTCAACATGTGGCTCTCGCCTTGGCGCCGAGCACATTCGTCTTAAAACATATCAGGAGTGTCACGGATGAAGGGCGGTTCGTTTTCAAAATGTGGCTCTCACCTCAGCGCCCCGCAAATTCGTCTTAAGAGTTTGCAGCAATGTCGAGGGTTCTCATGGTTAAACATCCAGAAATTTCGTTTTGGCACGATGTCAGAATGCCAGCGCGCAACAATCACGTTGATTCGCGGTGCTGAAATCCCGGAACCTGCGTCCTAGCACAGTTCAAGACCGTTAAGACGCAGCAGAAGTAGTGATTGATTCGTGGCGTTGACATCTCAGGAATGGTGTTCTGGCGCAGTGCCAGATTTTCAAGCGGTTCTCTTCTAACAGGGCAACTCCCCCAGTGAGCATGAATCTTTGTAGGAGCTTATGACTCGGAGGGAGGCATCATTGTAATATCGTTAATGGGTCTTGGCATTCCATTGGTCCTCCTCCTTCTCCTCCCTCTCCTCTTTCCTCTTCTCCTCCTGCTGCTTGTTGGTGCTCTTCCTCTCCTCTCGTCCTCCTCCTCCTCCTCCTCCTCCTCCTCGTCCTCCTCCCCTTGATGTCTTCCGACGTCTTCGAGTATCCTGGGAGGCATCCAGAGGCTCAGCATCGCTCAAAAAGTTCGATCAAGGATGCTGCCTCCTTCGCTCACTCACCCTGCGCCTCCTCCTCCCTCCTCCCTCCTCCCTCCTCCCTCCTCCTCCTAGCCGCCGCCCCGGCTCGAGGTTCTGGGCGCGGATGCCAGCTATCCGCGAACCTCTCTCGGGGCAGCTGCCATGCGCGCCGGCCCGCACCCGTGAGGCGAGCGGGTCCGGCCGCGACACGAGATGCTTCCTGGGGCGGCCGCGCGGCTGGCCCAGAGGCCCCTGGCGGCGGCGCTCTGCCGCCTGGGGGCTTTGGGCGTGGCTTAGTGGGGGGGTCATAAATGGGGGGGTCAGAAACGGTCCCCTTTCGGGCCCCTCTGGAGCCCCAGGGGGCTCGTTTAGGTACCGTTTGGGTACCTTTTCGGACCACCCGCGACACCCCCCCATTTATGACCCCTCCATTACGCAACGCCCAAGGGCTGGGCCGCGCGGCGCCGCCGGCCAATCCGAGGCGCGGACGTCGCCCTCCTGGCGCGCAGGGTCGCGCAGGTGCTGGACGAGAAGGTCGTCGTGAAGAAGTCCGTGGAGGAGCTAGGCAACGCCGACCTGAAGGGAAAGACGATGCTGATCCGATGCGACCTCAACGTGCCCCTGTATGCGGACCAGGAGATCACGGACGAGAAGCACATCACGGCCTCGATCCCGACGGACATCAAGTGCGCCCCGGAGTGCAACGACCATGACGAGGTGAGGGGGGAGACCAAGTTTGACCCCGAGCTGGCAGAAAGCCTGGCCAGCCTGACGGGCCTGTTCGGGAGCGAGACGATCGGCACCACGCACCAGGCCCACTCCTCCACCAAGGACGTGACCGAACTCCTGGAGACGAGCGTCACGGGCCTCCCGCTGAAGGAGCTGGACTACCTAGAGGGCGCCGTGGTCACCCTGAATGCGGACCGGGAGATCACGGATGAGAAGCGCATCACGGCCTCGATCCTGACGACCAAGGGCGCCAAGGTGCTGGAGTACTCCCAACTGGGCTAACACGACGACGGGCGCGAGGTCAAGCTCTCGCTGAAACCAGCGGCGAAGAAGCTGGGGGAGCTGCTGAAGAAGGACGCCAAGTGCGCCCTGGACTGCAAGGCACACGGCAAGGTGAAGGGGGACACCAAGATCGACCTCGAGCTGGCAGACAGACTGGCCAGCATGACGGACCCGTTCGCGAACGGCACGTTCGGCACCACGCACCGCGCCAGCCTGAACTACCTGTAAAGACTACCTCAGGAGGAGCTGGACTACCTGAAGGGCGCCGTGGACAGCCCAGTGAAGCCGAGCAGGTTGGAGGAAGACTATGTCTCCCAGGATGACGCGCTACTGGACGCCGTAGTGTCGCCCCTCAGTTGTGTCGACTCGGTGTTTAGGGAGAGGCGCGCGCGCTGGCCGCCCACCTCACACGACTTCGTACTGTGCCGCGCCTATACCAGACCGGCGCACGGCGTCTGGGCCCGTATGAGGCCAGACCGCCCATGACACTCTCACTTTTCTGTGCCGTGCTGCACCCTCTGCGCCCGAAGGAGGCCAGACCGCACGTGTGATTCGTTTCTGCCCTCTGCGAGGAGGCTGCACAGCCTCGGAGGGCCCTCTCCCAGTGGGCCCCTTCATAAGTTGAGGGGTCCCCCCTAGGCGAGAGACTTCTGTGGGCCCTTTCAAGAAGGGAGGAGGCCCGCGACCGCCGTGCAGGCAAAGCACGTCGGAAGGACTCTCGGCATGCGCAACTGCGCTCAAGCCCGTGCCCACCACCACCACCACCTCCTCCTCCTCCTCCTCCTCCTCCTCCTCCTAACTTGTCGCTGGGGCGGGCTGGGCGTTCTGCCTGAGACGTCCCCACGTGTCATGCTGTTGAAGCTTGAGTGCATGCCAGCGCGTACGGCGGGCTCGTGTCGTGGCGACCCCAGCGTTGGCTTCTAACATCACGTGGATCGTTCAACCTTGAACGATCGGAGGCGTCTCGATTGCCAGATCGTTCCATATTGTACCGATTCTGGGCCACTGGCGGCGTTCAAACTTGAACGCCCGCGGCGGGGTCGCGGCGAATCGGCACGACGCGAACCTACCGTACCCTAGACAGGGGGGGCTTGCATTCCTCCTCCCGCCTCCCCGCCTTCCCCCTCCTCCCCCGCCGCCCCTCCCCCCTCCCCTCATTATGTGGCGAGCCCGGGGGGGAAGTGAGAAGGGGCGGGCCTTCTCGGAGGGCTCGGGAGTCCCCGGGCCTTCTGAGAAGTTTTTTTAGCCTGCCTCGAAGACACAGCAAACTTCTCGGAAGGCGCGAGGGCTTCTGAGAAGCCCCGCCACCTTCTGAGAAGGTTTTCTCCTTCTCATTTCCCCTCCTCTCTCCCCCTTCGCCCCCCCCCCTCCCCTCATCCCTGGGGGAATCAAACAGGTACCCATACCGCTACTCCCTGGACCTATCCTGGGGTGCGTTCTGACCAGAATTTCGAAGCGAATCCAGCCGTTGCGACGAAGGCCTCCCAGGAGGCTCAGAAGAGGGGAAAACGAGGGAAGGGTAGCGGTATCGATACCTTTTCCTCCACTGAATCCCCCTCCCTGAGCCCTCCCTCTTCGCCCCTCCCCCCCCCCGTACCGACGTGCCGAGTCCCCCTCCTTCCCCTCCCTCTCCTCCCTCGAATGGCGGCGGGCCATATCCTTTCCTCGGCGACAAGCCCGCCCAGCGCGTCACCACTATCCTCGTCGTCCTCTTCCTCCTCCTCCTCCTCCTCCTCCTCCTCCTCCCCCTCCCCCTCCTCCTCCTCCTCCTCCTCCTCCTCCTCCTCCTCCTCCTCCTCCTCCTCCTCCTCCCCATCATCATCATTATCCTCCTCCTCCCCGTCATCATCATTATCATCCTCCTCCTCCTCCTCTTCCTCCTCCTCCTCCTCCTCCTCCTCCTCCTCCTCCTCGTCCTCCTCCTCTCTCATCATCCTCCTCCTCCTCCTCCTCCTCCTCCTCCCTCCTCCTCGCCTCCTCCTCCTCCTCCTCCTCCTCGTCCTCCTCCTCCTCTCCTCCTCCTCCTGGTCCTCCTCGTCCTCCTCCTCCTCGTCTCTCTTCCTCGCCTCCCCCGCCTTTCTTCTCCTCCCCGTCCTCCTCCTCTTCCTCTTCCTGGCGCCTGGCACCTCCTGGCTCGAGAGTTCATCTAGACGCAGCCTCCCTCGTCCTCCTCCTCCTCCTCCCTCCTCCTCTCCTTTGCTGCTGCTGCTGTTACTCTTCCTCTTCCTCCTCCTCCTCCTCCTTCTCCTCCTCCTCCTCCTCCTCCTCCTCCTCCCTGGTTGTCCAATTGTCCCCTCCTTCCTCCTCGGCGTCGTCGTCCTCCTCCTCCTTGCTCCTCCTTCCTCCTCGCCCTCCCTCGCCTCCGTCCGCGTCCGCGGCCGCCCATGCGACGCCGTTGCCGCTGCCGCGGCTCCTGCCGCCGCGCCGCGCGGAACGCACGTCGCGCGTTTGGCGGCCGCCAAGCCCGGGGTGTCCCAGGTCCACTGCGCCAGCCCCGTGTCCATGCAAGGCGCCTATATGAGCCCCACGCAAGAGCACACTGACAGACACCCACGCGCACACGCACACGCACACATAGGCACACGCAAACACACGCACAAGCACAAGCGCAGACGGACAAAACGACAGACAGACATACAAACAGACAGACAGACAGACAGACAGGCAGACAGACGCACTCACACACTTAATTACGCACGCGCACGCGCAAACACACATACAGACACAGAAACACGCACACGCACACGCACACGCACAGGTACACGCACATGCACGCGCACACGCACACGCCCCCCCCCCCCCCACATTTTTAACTCGGCGGCGCAGAGGAACCTCAGGCGTGGTCGGCAGATGGAAGTGCCAATTGCGAACGAGCTTAATCGAACGCTCCGTGATGAAAGGGTCCAGCCACGGCCATGCAGATTGCTGGTGGTGAGGAATGAGGCGCTGTAAAGCCAAAGTGCACAGGCCACGCGTCCCGCGGAGCGTAGCTCGAAGCCAGGAGTTGAAGCACAGGCAGCAGCCTGGTGCGAATTAGCCCCAACAAAAACGCTCTAGAGTTGCCAGACCAGCCAGCA